CACACACACACACACACACACACACACACACACACGGGGTGCAACGATACAGAAAATTCACGATTCAGTTCGGTTCAATACTTTAGTCTCACAGTTCGATACTTTTTTCGATACAAAAAAGAAAAATTTCCATGCCCTTTTTAACTTGTAATTTATTTAAATCAAGTATGAACATTTGTTTAACCTCAAAAGTACAGTTTTTTAATTAAATGTTGCTGAAACAGCAGGTTTCTCAGTGGATCTGCACACGACAATGCAGCCTAGGTGGAGTAGTCCAATACAGATTCACTGATCCTTTAACACAGAGCATCTTCAGAAGACAAGTTGATAAAATAAATTTAAAATGTGTATTGTTCGATACAAGTGTGTATTGAACCTAAAAGCACTGTATTGAACGGTTCGATACAGGTACATGTATTGTTGCACCCCTAATACTTTACAAAACAAAACTTGTCTGTTGTGTTTTCACCTTTCAATCATGTGTAAACCAAAATATTTTTTATCAGCATCACCACAAAGTTATGATTTTTAAAACTTCACATCTATTATAAAGTAGTATAACTGTGGCCTTAATGTGAAATCTGTTCATTCTGAAGTGGCTGAAATTCAACTACAGAAGAACAGGAATACAAAATTACTCACCAGCCCATCCATCCTCACAGTCATTGTCAAGATCATCAAGATCCTTCAGGTCCTCTGGATTAATAATAGCTGGGCGCTGTGTTCTGTCACCAGGCCTGCGGATGGGCTGAGAGGAGGGTCGAGGGGGGACACGAACAAAGCGGTTCTCTCTTCTAGCATCACCACTGTAATCAAAGATGGAACAACAACTGATAAATGTTAGACCTCGCTAAATGACCAGTAACTGCAAAGGCATTTGTACTGTTCTTACTTTAAAAGTTCTGGTTTGGCAAAACTTTGCCTGAAAGTGGGTTTGCTGTCAAATCGAGCTGGGGCTGCTGCTGTAGTAGACGTTACATTATCTGGGCCAGTAGTTTCACGAGTCTCTTTAGAACACATCTGAAAGAAGCAGGATCACAAGTTATTAATATCAGAAATCTACATGGGAAACGATTTCCATTAGGCCGTTAGGTACGTACAAATGCAGGCAACATGTCATGGTAGACAGCATTTGAAGTGTGATGGAGCTGGTACTGCAGGGCAGTAGGGACGGCAAGTCTGCGCACAGGCTGGGCGGGTCGGAGTGAAGGCTCCTTGGAGTCGACACCCGGTGACTGAGCCGTCGTGACGCTAGATGAGGTGATACTGGTGGCAGCGGAGGGAGTGGATGAGACTGGAGGAGTGCCAGTCTCACCCTGGGCAGTGGTCTTACCCTCAGGATCTGCTGGCAGGCTGAGGGTCAGGGATGAGGGCTGAAGGTTCCTGCCACCACCTTCCCTCCAGCTCGTCACATCTGAAAAGAAGAAAAACAAAGAAAATTATGGAAAGTTGATAATGAAGGGAGGATAATTGGGAGGATAATTATGTAACTAAACCACAACACAAAGTTGTGATGTTACCTAAAGCTATCTTCATGTCCATGCAGTCAGTGGTTAGTCCATTAATGATATAAATTAATGAAAAAAAAAATTTCAGAACCAATTTTCACATTGCAGGTGTTGCTGATTTGTTACCAGGTCTGTTGTGGAAACCTACTTACCTGAAAACCACACAAATGTATGACAAAAACAAACATAACACACCAATTAAATAAAAAAAATTTAAAAGGCAAGAAAAATCAAGCTGTTTTCTGCAATGACGGTCAAAATATTTTCAAACAATCCAACCATTTAAGATTTATTCTTCTCCTGCTGCCTTTTGTTAAATTTGTGATGTGTATTTTAATTGTATATGGAATACATGTTGTTTTTTTAAACAAAAAATGAATTAACTTTATAACTATATAAAATTATTTTGCTGTGCACACACAGAGCATAAGCCTATCATTTACTGAGCACTCAGAAGCAGGAACAGAGCTTACTCTGGGGGCGGAGGCTTGGTCCGGGCCCATACGACGGATCGAAGCCGCTTCTTTCCTTGCCAACTCTGTCCTGTTCTCCAGCTGCCTTCAGGGTGGGAAATTCCTCGTGAGAGAAGGGCTGAAGTCGGTTTGAGGCCCTTGAACCTGATGTTACAGATGAAGATTGTTAATACAAAAACAGAGAAAAAAATCTTGCTGCTGAAAAATCACTGAAATTTGTGGTTTTAGTCTTTGGATGTGCATAACAGTCTTCAGTAAAGTGGCACAGAAAATAAGCTACTTTATTAGTAAATAAGCTGTATTTAAATGGCAGTGTATTCAGGCATATAGTAATTGAATATGTAATAATATACTGGTAATTACGTTCATCACTACTACAGTAGTAAATATTTGTATTGAATACAGATAAGTTAAAGATGTATGTAAGACCTCATTTTGTAATAACAGCGCATTATGTAATAAAATCAGGCTTCAAAATGTAATAAACTCACGCTAAAACCACTTTATGTAATTAGTGACGCAAAATGCAATAAAAGTCTTCAACGCATTATGTAATAACATTATTACATTTTGCAGCAATTATTACAAAATGTGGTGGTGTAGTAATCTGGTGCATTATTTAATAAACAATCAAAAACCCGCATTTCTGTTCATCCTAATCAATATACTTGCAACAACTGTCATGTTGCAAATACTACTTAATTAAATCTTTATAACTTTGGTCAATAAACACCGAACTTCTCATCTTTTATTTTAATTTTCAGACTTACTGTTCTGATCCCTGTTACAGAAATTATTCCACTTTGTAAACAACTCCCAAAATATATCTAAAAGTTAGTTGTACATGTCAACCCCTTCAGACGTTTACCTGTATAATGAGCCTTACAAATCTGTAATTTTTGTATGAAAAAAAAAACTGTATTAATCACACGCTGGGGGTGGGGGGTGCAGGCGGACTGTCGGCTTCTGTATCAGAAGTAAATGAGGGTGGAAGAACATGTTTCTAGCAATAGAGTGGGTTGGAAGAGGATATTTGATGTTAATAATTGTTTTTTAACATCCTACAGGCTCTGACTTGTTGAATAAATTAGAAACTAAGTTTTAGAAAGATTCCATAAAACACGAAAAAAATCCGTGAGATTGCTCTATACATCCATATACACAAGAATTTGACTGAAAATGCAAATAAAAGATGAGAAGTTCGGTGTTTATTGACCAAAGTTATAAAGATTTAATTATGTAGTACTTGCAACATGACAGTTATTACAAGTACATTGATTAGGATGAACAGAAATACTGGTTTTTGATTGTTTATTACATAATGCACCAGATTACACCACCACATTTTGAAATAATTGCCGCAAAATTTAATAATGTTATTACATAATGCGTTAAAGACTATCACATTTTGTGTCACTTATTACATAATGCGGTTTTAGCACGAGTTTATTACATTTTGAAGCCTGATTTTATTACATTATTACATAATATGCTGTTATTACAAAATGAGGTCTTACAAAGTACAAAAAATATTCAGGGACCATACATTAACTAACTATTTGTACATCAAATCAGTTGAAGTGAAACTGATCAGTCAGAATGTGGGATAGATTCATCTGAATGACTCACCATCTTGCTCTACTGCCTTGCCATTTAGTTGGGCCCATTGCTTTGGTCCACCTGTGTTTGTGTTCTGAGAAAATAAATAAAATTAGGGTTACAGTTCAACGAAGTCTTACAAACCTTTTAGATTAGAGTGTTTTTCCCAAGTCCATGTTAAGATTACAGTTATCCCATCTGACATGTCAATTTCTCAGGCCAACATTGTAAATAAGAAATGGTTCTTAATGTTTTGCCTGTTGAAATAAAGGTCAAATAAAAAATTAAATTTTCTTACACATAAAAATCTTATTATTGGCTGTATAAATTTTAGTGTACTAGACATGTACATTTCACAGAGTGCTTTTCAAAGAAAGAAAGACATAGACAACATGTTTGTGAAATGTAAATGCTACTGTAGGTGAACATGCACACCTCCAGGCTGGCCACTGGTAAGGACTTCTGAAGATTGGAGACAGACTTCTGCAAAGCCAGCTGCGGCTGCAACTCCGGCAGCTGTGGCACTGACGCAGTGGAACTACAAGAGATGGGAAAATATAAGTACCTCAGTGTATGCTGTGAACTGGTTTAAATCATAACTGAAAGTCACATAATTCAGTTCAGACTCACTGCGACACAATGGATGCCAACGACTACAAAAAGCTCAAGGCTTTATTTTTTTTTTTAGATTAAATATTATGAATTGCAGTGCTTGCAACACAATTGGTCTGACTAACATTGTAAAATGAGAAACTGAGCACATTTGTAAAACCTTTACCTCTTTTGATCGGGTTGTTCCTGCTTGTTCGCCCATCCTGTACCGTCTTTGGGGACTATATTCACGTTGGGATCGTTTCCTTTGTTTTCAGACTTCAAGCTCGGCAGGTGAGCAGGTGGGGGCATGCGCCGGGCTGTGGCCACTTTGCCAAGACTCTGTAAGCCATGTCGCGGAACTACTGGCAGACAACAGACAGGTGTCATGTACAGAAAGGAGAGCAAAAATTTATACAGATCTCATACAAGATCCAGGATGAATTAAGAGTAGTGAAAAAACCAACACAAAAACCAGACATTACACATAAACTTACCTGTATTTTTCTGAGTTTCTATTGATTTTCCCTTGTACTTGTCAAATAAGCTGAGTGAGGAATACTTGCTTTTCCCATCCTTGGACTTGGTTATTTGCCCCAAACGATCGGACATTTCGATGTAATGTCATCGAGTATGAAAATTTTTCTTTGCGCCTCTTCCCAGTGCCTTCTGATTCTGCCAAAAAAGAAAGGAAAAACAGTAAGTAAAGACATCACGTAAATGCGTAAACTGCTTTTTAAGAAAATATTTAGATTTATCTGTAAGACCCAAACTTTGTAGTGCGTGTTCTCCATTTTGAAGACAAGATTCCATGGACTAGGGATGTCCTGATCTAGAATTTTTGGCTCCCGATACGATCCGATTTTTTAGTCTTTCCGATACCAATCCGATAGCTTTATTTTAATTTTTTTTCCAAATGACAAGGTTGGTAGTATTAAAGCGAGCCCTGCTGTTCCCACCATGAGAAACATCCAGTTTGCAGATTCTGCAAGATGCAGTTTCAGCATCATTGTTTTCCATTGAAAAGTGTTCCCACACTGTGGACATGGTTGCATACTTGTGCGTCTTGACTTCTTAACGGCAGTTGTAAAGCATGATGATGCCGAAAACTGTCGCGAAAACTGGATCACATGACTAAATCTGATTCTACCTGATTTTCAAAAAGTGGCCATATCTGCCACCGATACTGATACTGAGTATCTGATGGGGACATCCCTAATGGACACACAATCAGTACATTTTTAAACAACTACATAACATTGAAACTACACTGAGAGAAACAAAACAACAGACACTATAAAACCAGTGTAACCAGCTTTGTTTTCACTGGTGAAGATTAGAAATTTTAAACAAATTCTTTAAAAAAAAACTGAACTACAATGTATTTCACCCTCACAGGACACCTGAATTAGCTTTATTTTTTTTTAATTAAATAAACAATGTCAGCAGACCGAACATAGCTAAAACAAGGCCTGTTGGAATGTGCCTTTTCTCAAGACACTTTCACTAAAATAATACAAATTCATTTTCTGCCAATTTATTCCAAAGCATTCATGTTTTCCATGTGATGACTTTTTCATGTATATGTATGAAGACCTTTACTTGTAATTTGAGGATCTAACTGTTTTTATGCAACAGAAAACAAATGTTACAAAGAAAATCATTTTACAGTGTAAAAAAACAGAGCTTTCAGTAGATTAGGCTCAGATTCAGCTGGAATTCAAGTTACTCATGATTTGGCCTACGCAGGAGCTTTCAAATTGTCTAGAAAGTTAAAATGGAAAAAGAAAATATTTACAGAGCTAAATTACTTTAAAGTAAAAAAAAAACTGTAACAGACTTAAAAGCGCGAGGAAGTGGAATAATAAAGAAGTTACTGCAGTAATTACAAACACTAATTCCAGTTTCAAAGCTCATTTTAGTGCATTTTATTTCAGGGTATTTAAGGCTTGGAGAGAAAAAAAATCCTTTGACATCTGGCTTTTTGTTTGCAGCTACGAGGGATAAAAAAAAAGAATTTAGTCCTGCATCAAGAGATTTTGCTGTAGGTGTGGTGGATATTTATTAGCTCTAGAATCAATCTGCAGGCGTGAAAACAGACCAATTTGTTCATTTACAACAATTTTCCACAAGAGTGGGCACACAAAACTAGTCTTCTTTTGAATTAAACTTTCATTCGTCAGCTGTATGAATGAAAGGGATGCTAAGAAGATTGTGACATCAACGGAAACAACATGAAAATAAAGATATGATGAAATGATCAGATTGGGCTGTCCAATGACTCAAAGTGTGCTTTCTGTACACATCTCATTTTATCAGAAAGGAAAATCTACATGTCTGTCGGATACAGCTGTTAATGGTTGTAACTCAAGTCTCATAATAATGTTTTGTTCCCAGCACAATGACAATAAACAAGCTGCGTCTGGCAACTTAATAAAAGATCCTATTGCCTTGTATAATCAGGGTGTCCATGTGTTTAACAAATCAACAGCCAAACCTTGTGTCGGTGCAAAAATGTAGAAGACTGTCTTTTGTTTTAGTCTTGTTGCCTGGTTTCTCCACAGTGTGAACAACTGTTACAAGAAAAAATTCCCCATCATCGCATAAAAAAGGTTAATTAGCTGAAAGATTAGATTAGATAAATTCTAAAATCACAGACAAAATTAGATGATTTGACTTCATAACTAGAATACATGAAAGGTTTATATACTGATTCCACAGAGATTAACTGACACTGTCAGTTGTTTAAAAGGTCACAATACACCACCTTCAATCTTTCAATTTTATTTTACTGAAAAATACACTTGAAACAATACAAACTTTTTTTAACTGGACGTGAGGTAGTGCTCATATGATCAGAGCAAAAGGGGACAGTGAATGATTTTCAGACTTTTGCATTCGGTGTGCAGAGACTGTTGAGACTTTTAAATCTCTGTTTAAAACTCATTTTTACTCCCTGGCCTTTCATTCTAGTAGAGATTCTTTTAAAGATAATGTTTTTAATGTTTTTCTCTATTTTAAATTGATTTTTTGTTTACATTTATGTGTTGCTCTGTTGTTTTATTCATTTGGCTGAATTGTGAAGCACTTTGGTCAACTTTTGTTGTTTTTATGTGCTATATAAAGAAATTGACATTGACATTTTGCAGAGGTACATAAGAGAGAGGAACAAGATCAGCTTCTTAAAACAGGTATCGGACGATCTCCCAAAATTAAGGAAATCTGTGCTGATTTATTGATGCACCCCTACTACTTGAACAGGCAATATTAGCCACTTTAAAAAAAGAACACCTTTGGTTAGCCATAGCTAGACATATTTACCAAGTGGAAAGATGGTGAAGCACCAACCAGTTTACTGTAGCCCATATTTTTGTTAGCATGTGTTTTTTTAATGAACATGTTATTCACCCGTTAGCTAATTGTTGCAGCCGATAGCCTGCAGGAGTCGCAGGGCAGGGGACACAGCCCAGAGGAGGAGCTGCTCCTAAAAGACTGTTCTAGGCCGTTTTTGCTCTCCTGCAAGTTTGCCTCTAGCCTGGCCCTTCCCTTCCTACGCAGCTCTGCTCAATTGTAGTTTCCCTTCTCTGCTCCGTCTGGGACTTCTCCCATTGAGATGGATTTCGCTGGCAGATTTTTAGCCGGGCCAATCAGAGAACTGAACGTCGACTTTCTGCGCAGTGTCTGCTTGTAGTTTATTTTACCTGGGCCAATCAGAGAACAGAAGGCGGAGTTTTGAATGATATCGATGTTCTGCGCAGTGTCTGCTTGTAGTTTATTTTACCTGGGCCAATCAGAGAACAGAAGGCGGAGTTTTGAATGACGCTGATGTTCTGCACAGTGTCTGCTAGTTATTTTAGCATACGGCAGTGGAGGAAGTGAATGAAGCCAGTCTGAGTTGACAAGTCTTCCAAATTAAATTAACTTTGTCTGACAAAGCAGCAGCTCTCATTTACAGCCGTCTCGTTTGGCTCGGTACTTTTCTCCTCTCAGTAGGGTTGTTTACAGCACATGCGATTTCCGGTTAGCTTCTTAGCTTAGCCTCTTTCACATCGACAACACACAATTGCTTCAACAGAGGCCACGCCTCCTGCAAGAAACAAATCTCTTTGCAGCAAGTCCAGACCCTAGTACGAAGCAAAGTGAAGGACAGGGTCTGGTTTCAACCAGGCTAGTCTGCCTCAGGACAGTACAGGATTTCTCAAACATGCATAAATGAGTCAAAGAAATACTCTGGACATGTTTTTCATGAGAGGGTAATGTTATAACATGACATAAAGCTCAAAAAAGATGATTTTACATGATATTGCCCCTTTAAGAGAAAAGTTAGCACTCTACAGATTTTTTGGGGAAAATCCTCGAAATTCAAGCAACAAGGCTGAGCATCTCTGTGACTCCAGCAAAAAAAAAAAAACCAGAGAAGACCACGAAAGTCACACAAACACCAATGTAATTCACCAACACCTCACAGCACAGGGCAAAAGATGGTTCTCAATGACGTCCTCATCTGGGACTTTTTCACCCTCCGCACCCCGTCCGTGGGCTAGCATTTAGCTTGTAGCGATAAAACTAGTATGGGAGAACCACAAAAGCAAGGGAGAAGAAAATGCAAAAATGGCCACTGAACAACGCAGACGAGCATGACTAGGATCATAATACTTTGTATTTAAAACGTGCCTTTCAGGAATCTAAATCAAGGTATTTAGCTTTATTGAAAGTAACGATACTTACGAGCTGCTGAAGTGTGCAGAGCCGACACACAGGCTGTGTTGACATGACTCTGTGTGACTTTCTCTGATATTATTAGTAACTATATCTTACATACTCCTAATTTTCAAAACACATTTCTGTTCATAGTGCGCAACCTTTTTTATTACAGTTAATTAACGTACTATGTGGTCACTAACCACGGCAGGAGTGATCTGAACACACTCTGGAATCCCGATGAGGGTGAAATCTTTGTGTTTGTTTATCGCCAGCCACAAAATCATGTCGCTTTGCAGAGTCCGACAGTTCTACTTCACCTTGGTGTTTTTACGCAGTCGTTTTTTTAAAGAGCGTTTCTGTCGTTTTTTAAAGAGCGTTTCTCTGCCACTGCCACACGAGTGGCACGGTTTTGTAATACATGTCTGTGCTGTAGATTATCCCCTCTTCTGCATTCACGCCCATGAATATGGCGATTTGATCACGTGATCTGCAGGTCGCTACGTCATTTGAGAACCAGCTATACCATCTTTACACCTTCTAACAAACAACCTACATATTACAAGGAAATTACATAAATACCACTAAGTTCCCTTAAAAAGAATCCATAAGCTTTTGTTAGAAACCACTTACATTTAGTGGTTTATTAAAACTGAAGAATTGAATATTTTCTTTGAATTTGTTTGTAAACAAAAGGGGGGTGCAGAATATAAGATACTTCTGCTACCTTTCATTTAATTTAATTTGTGATTTGTGTTTTGTTGTATGTTGAATTGGCGTTGTTTTTAAATGAATAAACTTTAAACTAAAAAAAACTAAAATGATGTGAGGTTGTCAAAGTTTTAATTCATGATGATATTGATCATGCTCATCTAATTTGTAACCTTTTTTTTTTTTTACAATTTAAATACTCTCCAAACACTGTAACTTTGAACAACTGCAGAAAAACAAAGTAGTATAGACACACAATTTCACGTTATTTAATTGTTTGGGGGGAAATCAATAAATCAAGAACATCAGTAAATTTCAAATTATTTTGTGATAGTAATACGAATTAAAATTCTGAAATTTTGATTTGTTGTTAAAATACAAACATAAGCTCGTTGTGAGTGACCTACGTTTGCCCATAAATCACAGATATATTTTAGAAGACCACCGTCTTCATTCGCAGAAATCGTCAAACTATGATGGCCTGACAAATAAACGTTAGTGTTGTAAAATCTTAGCACTGGTGTTAACATTTTAAACTGTCTTGTTATTACAGAAGCCTACTTACTGGCTTTTAAAGGTAACATACACCATGGAAATCTGGACTGAAGGCCAGCCTTTTGAAGCCCCACGGCACAGAGCCGATATGCTAACGCAATGACAGCTAACCCATTTATTCTCTAAAACAACAACACTTGATGGCATTTAACAAGAACACCAGTAAAGTAACTAAAACGTGTGAATATAATCAAAATGTTCACAAAGTAAATTTTAAATAAAACAACAACTCTTGACCTCCCGCTAGCTAACTCAAAACAGATTAGCTTCAATGCTAACTCCAGCAGTGGACAAAACACCTGACATCAAAACCCTTTGGTGAACAAATACCGCCCGTTTTAGATTAAAGGACAGACGAAATGCTAATTTATAACACTGCTAAGTTTAATATGTTTATAGAATCAAGACGGTTAAAAAACGAGATGTAAATAGCAAGAAAATGCTATGTAAACAAATGCTAACAAGTATGAGATTTTGCAAAGGACTGTTGTGATACTGCTTTGTCGAAAAAAATGATTGTATTGACGTTACATTATGCAACCTATTTGACACAACAACGCTATGGCAAACAAAAACAAAATTCACATTAGCTAGCTGCGTTCGACAGCTTGTTGGAAAACTAGCAAAACGACAATCCCGTTAAACTTCCAGGGTACTGTCTGCTACAAAAACAACTCTCACAGGCCAGAGGTTTGACAATGAAATAAAAAAATGAAACAAACAATTAAAGAAGAATGTTTTGTTGTGTTGTCTGTACACAAACAATGTCATAGTATATACCCTTGCTTGCTTTTGTTTTGTTTTTTTCTGAACGGGTTGGAGCCAACGACGGGAATGTAGGACAGGGCGATTAAAAATGGCTGCTGCCCAGAACAAAGCAACAATAAAACTGAACAGCAAAGAAAAACAGTCAAAACGGAGGATTTGACACAGCTCGCGTTTACGACTCACCGGATTCAACTATTTGAGAATATCTTCTTGTCAATGACAGCGATATAATTCCAAGAAACGATGTCTATTCGGAGGATGGATAGCGATTGTAAAGCCCAATCTTCATAGGTTTATCCGAATGCAGAGTTGTTGCTGGGGTCCTACCCGGCCTGAGAATGAAGTGAACAGCGTACGGTGAGGGCTGGGTCTGTTCCGCTCAAAGCGTCTTACGTCATCCAGCAAGGTACTCAAAACAAGTGCAGATATTGCCCCCTGTCGGTCAATATTTACAA